CAGTCGAGGCCCTTCACAGCGCTTACGGTACCAGGCAGAGGACTATTTCAGTTCAAGAGGATGCCATACGGTTTACATAACGCACCGACAGCTTGGCAGAGATTTATAGATTCGGTTATAGGACCCGAGTTAGAACCTCATGTTTTTGTGTATTTGGATAATATTATCGTCACAAATAGTTTTGAGAAACATTTAAAGATTTTGAAAGACGCTTTAGATAGATAAGCTAGAGCAGGGCTTAGATTAAATAGGGAAAAATGTAATTTTTGTAGGTCGAGAGCTTCGGGCCTCTGTGGTGACTATGGTGTCCAAATCCGGTACACCGCACACTATCACCCACAGGCTAGTCCGGCCGAGAGGATAAACCAAAGTATTAAAACAACGCTTAGGGCTTACGTGTCAGAGAATCAGAGGACATGGGACCAACAGTTAGCGAAGGTAGCTTGCTGCATTAGGACACCGCAGCACGAAGTGTTAGGAGCTACGCCATGTTTTGTGAATTTCGGAAGGGAAATGGGCGCTAGAAGGCAGTAGGGACTCCATAGACAGTTTATGAGACTAAGACAAATTAAATAGTTAGCAGCGAGCAAAGAGGCTCGAGGAGATTAAGATCATTATTAGATCTAGGTTAGAGCAGGCAAGTGAGAAGCTTGCGAGGGAGTACAATCTCAGACGTCGAGATGTACAGTACATGCCAGGAGAGTTAGTTTGGAGGAAAAATTTTATGCTGTCGGATGCAGCGAATTATTATGCGGCAAAATTAGCCCCAAAGTATGTAGGGCCGTTTATTGTTAGGAAGAGAGTGTCACCGTGGACATACACACTGACAGATGACTCAGGCAAAGACAAAGGGACTTGGAACGTTAAGGAGTTGAGGCCATGGAGTCTGATCGTGACTGCTGAGAGAGCAACACGTATTCTGAATCACATTTGACCACTTTACCTGTGCATCAGTCTATTAACTTGAAATTCATTACTTTTCTTTTTTTTTATAAATTAGTCAAAAACAAAAAAAACAATTATTGCGAGTTCACAGCATAAAATGTGTGAGCTTAATGCTCAAAATAATAAACACTTAGATAATAATAATTCATATATAGCGGTGAATGAGACCAGGAAAAGAAAAAACCAAAGTGTAAATGATCATACGATGGCAAAAATCAAAAACAACTATTACGCGATTCTCGACAGTGAAACAGAGAATTGTGATGAAGATGTGATAAAGAAATTTGAGCGGCAAGTCCTACTCAATAACGTAAATAAGAATATTGAACAACAAAGAAATAAGAATGACAAGCCAACAAGAATACAACCAAAATAAGCGTGCTATTCTATTGTCTAACTTAGACGACTATATAAGAGTGCGAGGCCACTTAGAAAAAGCTAAAGCAAAGTTTTATTCATACACTCCAAAATGTCTCAAAACTAAAACCTTTCTAATGAAAGGCATAAATCCAAATACTGAACTACAACTTATATACGATGACCTTGCTGGCTATCAAAACGAAAAATTAAAAATTGTAAAAGTCAGCCCGTTTACAACAAAAAATTCTCTACAACGCAATATCGCTCTCCCTATGTTTATGGTNATTTAATTCAGTATTCTTAAAAGGAATATCACATTACATTAAGGTTCTTGAGAGCTCGACTAGAGACTTTGAAACATTGTACTACTTTATATTAAAACTTTTTGTTTATTTATGTGACTAATTTAATATATATCAATAAAAATATTCAAAAAAAAAGAAAAAAAAGAAAAAGGAGTTGAGGCCATATAGGGATTAAGAGGATAGGAGATTTCCGTTCCTTGACCAAAAGGAAGGTTACTTCCTTTTCTTTGAGGAAGGGGTGGAGTTGTCGCGTACTGCCGCAACAAAAACTTCTTTTGTGTTTGTTTGTTCACTTCCTTTGTTTTGCCTAAGCTTCCTTTCACTCCAAGCGTTGGCAGTGACATCTGTCGGAAAATAGTGGCATGGATTGATGGCACGGTTACTTTCGGTGTGTCTACCCAGTGGTATAAGTCTCCAAAAGGAGGTATTCCCCAAAACGGTTCCTCCACTAACAGATATTAGGGCAACGGAATGCTTTGGGTGGGAATTCCGTAAAAAGGGGTGTCGCCTTTTTCTTTAATGCGGCGAGGGGAAAAATTATACCAGTGTACTTGGTGTGCCATGATGGCGTGCGCTATACAACCCGGTCCCTTTGGGTAATGGGGGCGGCGTCAAAATAATTGGGCACCAATACACACTCGCAGGAAGATTTTGAAGGCCGACGCGTAGCCTGCGGTCTGGCTCGTAAGTGCGTGCCGGAACAGATTCCAGCAATCTACCAAAGAGCGAACATTCTTTTTTACGCAGGCGTGCGAATTGTGTTGTGGGATTTACGAAATAGGAAAAAATATTAATAATAAGAATAAATAATTATTGTTTTGCCAGGCGAGGCAAGTGAGGGCAGTTGAAGCCTCGTGAAAAGTAGTGAAAGTTTTAAGCCAGTCGGGGCTTATTTAAGGGCAGTTGAGACCCAGTGCAAAATAGGTGTTTTTTTTATATTTCAGTGGCGGAACCAGAGTTTGGCGTCGGCATCATCCGGAGGAGCACCGAAGTTGGGTACCCACACCAGACCGAGAAACTGATAAGTATCATTTCGTGTATTTATTGTTTGCGCACGTTTTGACGTGCCGACAGTGTCCCTCCCCTCGTTACGTGCTCACCCATCCTTCTAGCATCCCGCACCCAGAGCCCAGTCATGCAGGCGGGTTAAAGTTACGAGTGGGTTCGTAACTAGTTCGTTTGGACCACACCTCGGGTGCACCCAGAAACATATTTTGTTTTATTGTCTTAAGTAGTTCGGCTTTGCTGTTAAGTTGCTGTCTTGCGATTTTTGTTTATATCGGGGCTAGTAAATTCACTTGGTGTTGTTTTTCTCCCCGTTGGATTTTGTTAGTGTACTTAGCTTTTGACCCACGCCGTCTTCACTAAGCTGGCCGGTCGCTTTGTTATTTTTTTGTCATCTCCTTTTTGTGCGGTAGTTTGTTTTGACGTGTGTGGTTGTTGGTAGGTGCTTGACCAACAGCCACTGTAAGTATACATATGTATGTATGTAAGTTAAAAAGTGGAGGTGACACTATATATAAGACTCTTTTGAATATGTCGACTAAGGTTCACTTTCAGTATCCTGTTAATCTAATCGAAAAGCCACCTATGTACTGAACTTCGAGTAAGTGGAATTTTAATTAATCTTTTCATTGGCCATTCCCTGGTCTTCTTTCCGGAGAGTGGTATAGTCTGTCTGATTACTTAAGCAAAAAGCCACTCATTTACTAAATTTCAAGTAATTCGAGCTATATATAAGATTTCTCAAATAGGTCAGTCACTGGTCCATTTTCCGGAGAGAAGTGAAGTCTTCCTGTAAGTAACCACAAAAAGCCACATATTTACCAAATTAAAGAAAACCGGACAATAAATAAGAGTTTTTCAAATAGGTCAGCCCTGGTACATTTTCCCGAGATAAGTGTAGTTTTCCTGTTAATATCAGTAAAAAGGCACCTATGCACTGCACTTCAAGTATAACGAATAGTTCAGCCAAGGTTAACTTTCCGGAGAGAAGTGTTGTACTCCTGTTTATCTAAGCAAAAAGCCACTGAATTACAAATAAATCGAACTAGAGAAAAGATGTTATCCACTTTCCGGAGAGAAGTTTAGTCTTTCTGTAAATCTCAGCAAAAAAGCACAGTGTTGTACAGTATGTTTAACTCTTCTTTTTTCTTTAGCGTGCGCTCCATACTGAAATATTGGTCAAGCGCTGCAGACCGGGAATGGCCTAAAGAGAGTTTTGTGGAAAAATCTTCCTTGAATGGAAGCCGCACAATATAACGACCGTTTAAGGCACGAGTCGTGATTTGCTTATATGTTATTTCGCAAGCTTGATCCGCATTAGTAATATGTGGAGTTGAAGGAATTTCTTCCCCTTCCCAGAATTTTCTCAATTGATCACCAAGTGTATCAGTTGAGATTTCTTCTACTTTTGTCGAGAATGACACCACTTTTTCGGTTACTGGACCGTTAAGGATCCAGCCGAATATAGTGTTTTGCGCAAGTACTGTGTCGCAAATTGTTTGTACACCTTCCACGAGAGTTTGTGGGAGTATGTCACTGCCTATTACCATGTCGGTTTGAGCTGGTATGTGGCAATTCGGGTCAGATAGTTCAAGGATTTTGAACTGTTGCCAGGTATTACGGCTTAAGGTAAAGGTTGGCAATTGCCTCGTTAGGTTTTGCAGCACGATGGCTTGGGCATTGATCCGTTGCTTGGTTTTGGATGATACCAGAGTCAATGAACAAAGTTTGGATGAGTTTTGGACGATGTGTCCACCCATTCCAGAAATTTCGAACTTGGAATGTTCGACTGGAAGACGGAAGACCCAACCTTTTCTGAACTTTCGAGGAAATGAAAGTCCGTTGTGAGCCTTGGTCAACTAAGGCTCTGACTTAAAACAATTCTCCTTGGTGTTTCACTGCGATAATGGCAGTTGGTAGGAAAGTTCTGCTATCGTGTCCCGCATGTAATGATTGAATGTGTGCTTGCTTAGAGCAGCACGGTTGCTCGCTTGGATTGGACATTTTCTTGAAATTGTGGCATTGTGAAATTGCGTGTCGGAAAATGCAACACGGACATGTGTTATCCCTGTTTTGTTCGGCCACAAAAGATTGTATTCTGTTAAAGGATCTATTGTAAGCGACGTTTTGAGTGGCGACTGGTCTCGGTTTGTTTCGGCTTGGATGAAGCCGATTAAGACGCTCCACCACTTCGTATCTAGAAGTAAGGAAGTCATTCACTTGTGACCATGCTGGCAACTCTTTTCGAAATGCAAGAGATTGCTCCCACAAGGATAATTTGGTTTTAGGTAGTTTCGAGGAGCATATATAGACTAACAATGGATCCCAAATGTCTGTAGATACGCCTTGGGAATGTAAGGCGGACAAACAGCCATTTATTGTTGTTTACTGTCTTTGTATTTGCTCGCTATTTTCGATTTGTACGTTGGGTAGCGAGAGTAGAGCTTTTATTTGGTTGTCCACTAGAATACGTTTGTTTTCGTATTTTGCCCGTAATGCCTCCCATGCTAGCTCGAAATTATCATCGCTCAATGGGTGTTGTTCGACGATTGCGCCAGCTTTGCCTTCCGTTTTGTATCGGAGATGGCACAACTTTTGTGCATGGGAGAGCTTAGGATGGTTAATGTAGATCGCTGTGAACATATCACGAAAAGCTGGCCATTCTTCATAACCCCAATTGAATGTCTCTGTGTCGCAGGCTGGGACTTTCAGGCAAATATTTGAAGAGGAAACTTCTTCTGGCATTCGTTCCACACGAGAAGGTGGACTCGGCTGAGTAGCTGCTCCAATTAATTCAGGCTGCTCTGCTATCCTAATCTGTGTAAGTTGATACGTGTCATGGCCGGTAAAGTATTTATTGTCTGCTGAAAGTTTGAAACTTTCGTGCAGTCATTGGTCGGCCCTTTAGCAAAAAGACAACCCTGTACCGAATTTCCGGTAATTCAAATTAACAAAACGAATTTTTTTGAATAGGTCAGTCGATTGTTGATTTCAAGTAAGCCAAGCTATAAATAAACTTTTTGAATAGGTCTTCCCTGGTCCACTTCTGGGATAGAAGTTTGGTCTTACTGTAAGCTTGCGAAAAAGACTCATATGTACCTAATTTTAGGTAATTCGATCCATTAACTAGTTTTTTTTGTGTTTAAGGTCAGTCCTTGGTACACTTCATGGAAAGAAGTGCAGTCTTCTAGTTAATCTTAAAAAGGCATCCTATTTTTCGAATTCCGAATAAATATAACAATAAGGTAATTTTTTTTTTTTGATCAGGTCAGCCCTGGTCCACTTCCCGGATAGAAGTTTTGTCTTCCTGTTAATCTCATCAAAAAGCCACCTATGTACCGTATTTCAAGCAAATCGATCATAAATATTTTTTTTTTTGGCTTCTAAAAGTCAGCTTAGTACCGAATTTCAAGAAAGTCGAAATTTTTTATTATGGCAGTCCCTTCCTGGAGAAAAGTTTAGCCTTTCTGTTAATCTACGCAAAAAGACGAACAGAAATATACTTAAACTAAACTTTCTTATTATATCCGTCCCTGGTCCACTTCCCGGAGAAGAGTTTAGTCTTTCTGCTAATCAAAGCGAAAAGACAACCAACTACCGATTTTCCGGTAAATCTAACTAACAGAACGATTTTTTTTTTGAATCGGTCAGTCGATGGTCGATTTCAAGTAACTCGAACCATAAATAAACTTCTTTAATATATCAGCCCCTGGTCCACTTCCCGCATAGAAGTTTTGTCTTCCTCTTAATCTCATCAAAAAGCTACCTTTTCTGTTAAGCTTAGCAAAAAACTACATATGTACCGAATTTCGAGTAAATGGAACCAATAAAAAAGCTTTTTCGGACAGGTCAGTCCCTGGCTCACTTTCCGAAGAGAAGTGTACTCTTTTTACTAGCTTAAGCAAAAAGACACATATGTACCGAGTTTCCGATAAATCGAACTATTTTTCTTAGTAATTCAGCCAAAATCCACTTAACGGAGAGAAGTGTAGTCTTCCTGTTAATATCAACGAAAAAGCTACCTATATTCCGAATTTCGAGTAAATGGAACCATAAATTAACATTTTTAATATGTCAGTCCCTGTTCCACTTCCGGGAAAAAAGTTTAGCCTTTCTGTTAATCAAGCAAAAAGACAACGATGTACCGAATTTCCGGTAATTCGAACCATAAATAATATATTTATGAATAGGTCATCCCTAATCCTTTTCTGGAAAGAAGTGTAGTCTTACTGTTAGCTTAAGAAAAAGACTCATATGTACCTAATTTTAGGTAATTCGATCCATTTACTAGTTTTTTTTTGTGTTAAAGGTCAGTCCTTGGTACACTTCATGGAAAGAGTTGCAGTCTTCCTGTTAATCTAAAAAAGGCATCCTATTTTTCGAATTCCGAATAAATTTAACAATAAAGTAGTTTTTTTTTTGATTAGGTCAGCCCTGGTCCACTTCCCGGATAGAAGTTTTGTCTTCCTGTTAATCTCATCAAAAAGCCACATATGTACCGTATTTCAAGCAAATCGAACTATAAATATTTTTTTTGAATAGGTCATCCCTGGTCCACTTCCGGGATAGAAGTTTGGTCTTACTGTTAATCGCTTCTAAAAGCCACCTATGTACCGAATTTCCTGGAGAAAAGTTTAGCCTTTCTGTTAATCTACACAAAAAGACAAACATAAATATATTTTTTGAATAGGTCAGCCCTAATCCACTAAATAAACTTTCTTATTATATCAGTCCCTGGTCCACTTCCCGGAGAAGAGTTTAGTCTTTCTGCTAATCGAAGCGAAAAGACAACCAACTACCGATTTTCCGGTAAATCTAGGTTTTTTTTTGAATAGGTCAGTCGAATGCTCAATTCAAGCAAATCAAACAATAAATTAACTTTTTTAATATGTCACGCTCTTTTACACTTAGCGGAGAGAAGAGTAGCCTTTCTGTTAATATCAGCAAGAAAGCATCCTAATTTGCCGAGTTCCGAATAAATATAACAATAAAATAATTTTTTTTGAATATGTCAGTCCCTGGTCCATTTCCCGGATTGAAGTTTTGTCTTCCTGTCAATCGTATCGAAAAGCCACCTATGTACCGAATTTCAAGAAAGTCGAAAATTTTTATTATGGCAATCCCTTGTCCACTTCCTGGAGAAAAGTTTAGCCTTTCTGTTAATCTACGCAAAAAGACAAACATGTACCGAACTTCCGGTAAATCGTACTAACAATGAGATTATTTTGAGTAGGACAGTCGATGGTCGATTTCAAGTAAATCGAACAATAAATAAAATTTTTTAGCCTTTTTGTTAACTTTAGCAAAAAGACAACCCTGAACCGAATTTCCGGTAATTCAAACTAACAGAACGATTTTTTTTTGAATGGGTCAGTCGATGGTCGATTTCAAGTAACTCGAACCATAAATAAACTTCTTTAATATATCAGCCCCTGGTCCACTTCCCGGATAGAAGTTTTGTCTTCCTGTTAATCTCATCAAAAAGCTACCTTGTACCGTATTTCAAGTAAATCGAACTATAAATAATTTTTTTTAATAGTCATCCCTGATCCACTTCCCGGAGAGTAGTGTATGTTTTCTGTTAAGCTTAGCCAAAAACTACATATGTACCGAATTTCGAGTAAATGGAACCAATAAAAAGTTTAGCCTGTATTAATATAAGCAAAAATAGTACCATGTATCGAATTTCTGGTAGATCGAACTACCAATAAGATTATATTGAATAGGTGAGCCGATGGGCGAATTCAAGTATATCGAACAACAACTAAACTTTTTAATATGTCAGGCCCTGGTCCACTTTTCGGAAAAAAGTTTAGCCTTTCTGTTAATCTAAGCAAAAAGACAACCATGTTCCAAATTTCTGGTAAATCGAACTAACAATACGATATTTCTAAATAGGTCAGTCGATTGTCGATTTCAGGAAAATCGAACTATAGATAAATATTTTTAATATGTCAGTCCCCGGTCCCCTTCCCGGAAAGAAGTTTTGTCTTATTTTTTTTTTTAAAGGTCAGCCCTAATTCACTTCCGGAAAGAAGTGTGGTCTTAGTGTTAGCTTAAGAAAAAAATTCTTATATATTTAATTTTAGGTAATTCGATCCATTAATTAGTTTTTTTTTTGTGCTTAAGGTCAGTCCTTATTACACTTTTTAGAAAGAAGTGCAGTCTTCCTGTTAATCTAGAAAAGACATTCTATTTTTCGAATTCCGAATAAATATAACAATAAAGTAATTTTTTTTTGAATAGGTGAGCCCTGGTCCACTTCCCGGATAGAAGTTTTTTCTTGCTGTTAATCTCATCAAAAAGCCACCTATGTACCGTATTTCAAGCAAATCGAACTATAAATATTTTTTTTTAATAGGTCATCCTTGGCCCACTTCCGCGATAGAAGTTTGGTCTTCCTGCTGTTCTCATCAAAAATAAAACTATGTACCGAATTTCAACTAAATCGAAATTTTGTATTATGGCAATCCCTGGTCTACTTCCTGGAGAAAAGTTTAGCCTTTCTGTTAATCTACGCAAAAGGACAAACATAAATATATTTTTTGAGTAGGTCAGCACTAATCCACTAAATAAACTTTCTTATTATATCAGTCCCTGGTCCACTTCCCGGAGAAGAGTTTAGTCTTTCTGCTAATCGAAGCGAAAAGACAACCAACTACCGATTTTCCGGTAAATCTAGCAAACAATAAGTTTTTTTTTGAATAGGTCAGGGCCCTTTACACTTCCCGGAGAGAAGAGTAGCCTTTCTGCTAATATCAGCAAGAAAGCATTTTTTTCCGAGTTCCGAATAAATATAACAATATAACAATTTTTTTGAATAGGTTAGCCCTGTTCCGCTTCCCGGATGAAAGTTTGGTCTTCATGTTAATCTCATCAAAAATCCACCTATGTATCGAATTTACGGTAAATGGAACTAACAATTACACTTTTTTGAATACGTCAGTCGATTGTCGATTTCTATAAACACTATTAATATGTCAGACCCAGGTCCACTTCCCGGATAGAAGTTTTGTGTTCCTGTTAACTTTAGCAAAAAGACAACCCTGTATCGAATTTCCGGTAATTCAAACTAACAAAACGCATTTTTTTGAATAGGTCAGTCGATTGTCGATTTCTATTTTCCCGAAAAATAAATAAACTTTAACGAATAGATCAGTTCCTGGTTCACTTCCCGGAGAACAGTTTAGCCTTTCTGTTAATCTGAGCATAAAAACAACCCTGTACCGATTTCCCGGTAAATCGAACTAGCAATAAGATCTTTTTGAATACGTTAGTCGTAGTCAGTCCCTGGTCCACTTCCTCGAGAAAAGTTTAGCCTTTCTGCTAATATAAGCAAAAAACATCATGTACCGAATTTCCGGTAAATCGAACTACCAATAAGATTTTTTTGAATAGGTCTGGCGATTGTCGTTTTCAAGCAAATCGAACAATAAGTAAACTTTTTTAATATGTCAGTCCCTGGTCCACCTCCTGGGGAAAACTTTAGCTTTTCTGTTAATTTAAGCAAAAAGACTACCATGCACCGAAATTGCGGTAAATTGAACTAACAATAAGAGTTTTTGAATAGGTCAGTCGATGGTCGATTTCAAGTAAATCGAACAATAACTAAACCTTTTTAATATGTCAGTCCCTGGCCCGCTTTCTGGAGATAAGCTTAACCGTTATGTTAATTTAAGCAAAAAGACAACCAACTGCCAAATTTCCGGAAAATCGCTCTATATATAATAATTTTCTTAACAGGT